GGTCGTGGGGCCTGAACTCTGGGTCTGGGTGCTGTCCCTCAGCTCTTCAGCTCAAGGCTAGCGCTCTACCACTTGAGCCACAGCGCCACTTCCGGCTTTTCTCTTTTTGCTTATGTGGTGCTGAGGAATCGAACCCAGGGCCTCGAGCATGCAAGGCAAGCACTCTACCACTGAGCCACCTTCCCAGCCTGTCATTAGAAATTCCTACCACTCTGAAGTCAAAGAAAAAAACATAAACAAATCTAAGTAACAAAAAAGATAGATGTAAAATTAATAAAGACAGGCCTAATTTCCTTGAAAATTAAAGTGTCCTCCAAACCAGTAAGACAACCAGCTCCAGATAAACAAAGGCAGTGCAGCTCACAGTGTGAGGTGACAGCTTGCTCTTAACAACACAGCAGATAGCTAAGACACATGCACAGGCAGACGAGCGTGCTCGATTCAAAGAGCAGGCTGGCAGGGTTGCATGAGCGCAGTGCATGAGCGCAGGCCCGCTGGGGTGTGCCACGTGTGGCGGTGAGCCGTGAGCCCAGCCAGGAGCTGCTCAGAGGACACGCCCCAGTGCCTCATCTATATCACCATAAGCACTCCATGGCCACCAGCAGGCCTGGGACACAACGCTGGGGTATCCAGGCGGCAGAACACAGAGAGAAGTTTATAAATTCAACATCTGTAGGAAAGATGTGGAGGAGTCCCTGATAGGTAAAAATGAAGTGAACACCAGAATTGCAGAACTTCATGTCGGTGGACATGTACAGGCATTTCTGAAAACACATAGGAAACGGTCAGCCGTATTATCTCTTGGGAGCAGAACATCTTCCACCTTGCTTTATGATGTGTTGTATTATGACTCGTCCCAGACTGAGCCTGGACAGGACACAAAGCTGTGGCTACTGGCTGCTCACCAGCACAGGGCTGGCCGGCCATCTGTGCGGCTCAGAGCTGTCTCCACTCCGCCCTACTGTCATATGTGTCCAGCACAATTGTCCCATTTGTGCTCCCTGCAAACTCCCACCAGGAGAGAGCCCTCCCTGTTGGTTTTAACGGTCCTCTGCAGTTTAGCATCCTATTCTTTTATTAGCTGACTTCAGACCATACCACCAAGTTCCTGACTTCCTGTCCTGACCTGAGACATGCCACACCTTCCAGGCCTTCTCTGTCCACACCTTCTGCCTTGCTCCAGGCTCCCTGACTGCCCTTCCCTCGGAGTTGTGCCATCCAGAGCCCTCACACTCCCCCTGGAGCAGCCCCATTCAACACACTGCCCGTCTCCACCTCACAGAGCACGGGACACGGGGAAAGTTCCCCGTCTAGTTCTGGGGCAATCTGTCCATCATTAGTCGTCTTACGGTCATCACAGTCCTGTTATTAAGCTGCTGGGCTACAATCTCAGCTGCTGGAGGCAGGGCTAGATGGCAGAGTAGAAGCATGAGCCATTCTTACCTCATAAATCAAAGCAATCTGGTCTCAGATGAGACCAGATCTTAAGCCAAAAGAGAAGAAAATTAAAATTAACAAAGGAGCTGACAAGGAGCAAGAAAATTGTGTAAAAGAAAAAAAAGAGCTGCTAGCAGAACTAAGCATCCCCGAAAAGTATACGGAAACTTAGTATTAATTGTGTGCGAGAATGAATGGCTGAACTCAGCCTCTTCCCGTGGCCTGGACAGTGCTGAGCTCCTCCTTCTATCACCCAGATTCCCAACACCCTGCTCACCTCTGTGTCCTGATGCTCACGTGGACCAGTGGTCCTCTGAGCAGGGACCCTCATGTGTAGCACCTGTCTTCCTCAACACGTCAATCAGCTGTCACTTCCTTTACCACTACCACCATAAATACACGTAAGCAATCAGCAGAGAACACAGGCCTCTTCCTCCTCCTCCTCCTCATTGTTGCCAAGAATGAGCTTACTAGAGTTCCCACAGGCTCGCAGGTAACGTGTCTGCTGATGGGGGGCAGACACATTCGGTGTCTGGGCCCACCGGGGAGGACAGTGGCCCCCTCACCTCACCAGGTCGCTGGGCTTCTTGAAACTTTTGGGGCAGTATGTGCAACAGTTGGCATGCTTGGGCTCTGCTTCCAGCTCTGCCTGCTTGTCCTTCATCTCGCTAATGCGGTCCTTTTCTGCAGCGGACTGTACCAGCACCTTCTCTGACACCGTGGCACTCTCCTGGGGCCGAATCTTGGCCAGCTGGGCCGTCTCCTCCTCTGTGAACGTGATGACCTCAGGGCGAGGCTTTCTTGATGCACTTCTGTCAGAGTTCTCTTCTTCATCCTCCATACACGTGTCTACACAGCACACAGGAAAATAAGTCAGGATCCCCATAAAAGCTGAAGTTCTCACCTGCATCATCTTTTCTTAGAAGCTCATGAAAAGATGGGAGGGAAGGTGGGAAGGGGACAGTCTGTCACACAAGACAGAGTCAAGAGATTCAATATCCACTTGGTGCAAGTTCCAGAAGAAGAAAAAACAGTCCACCACAGTGCCATATTACACCGGTAAAGCCCGCGAAGTCACAGGAGCAGCTTACAGACAGTGCCCCTGCCAACACTGACGAAGAAATAGATTAACTCCTGGCACAGGCCTCAAGAGGAGAGGCAGGCCGTGATGGAGGCCTGCACAGAGCAGACAGAGGAAACCCCGACTGTCACAGAATCATCAGGAAGCAGGTCCCACCACAAAGCCAGACGTGCAGGACATGCCTGCGGTCCCAGATGCTCAAGAGGCAGAGGCAGGAGAACCAAAACCAGGACAGCCCGAGCAATATTAGCATGAGACCCCAGCTGAACAAACTGAAAGCAAAGGACTAGGCATGTGGGTGAAGTGAAAGAGCACAGAACATTTACCTCATTACATAAGGCCTAGAGCTCAATCCTTACAGTAAATCAATCATTCCTTCCATCCAGACTTTGGGTGTGGATATGGCTGGGACCAAACAGGAAACTTTTCTCCTGTGGCCAAGAGTGCCAATGAGGAAGGTGATTTATAAATGTGTATGTGGCAGCATGAGGAGCCCTCTGGAATCACAGCTTTGTGAACCCGCGAACACATGACTGCACATACATGTGATTCCTGCTGCTTCTCTCTCCAAACCTCAGAGCTCTAGAAATAATGCCTGGGAGAGAAGCTGCTTTCCCCACCTCACGCAGCACTGACTAACCGGGAATCAAGGCACTACCAAACCCTGCCAGGCTGGAAGACACAGAGCACCCTCCAGGTAATTCTGAGCCACTGCCTGCCAGTGTCCTCGCTGGAGCCGTTGCCTCAGAACGGAGGAGCAGGCAGCAGCGCTCGCATTCCAGGGTAGCACACGAGGACCTGAGGCCTGCGACCTGAAGGTCAGGTGATGACAGAGACGGGGGAGGGGTCGTAGCAACCGAGGAGACAAGCAGGGGCCTCTGCAGAACACTGACTGTGCTGCCGCCAAGCCATAGCCCACGACACTGGCTGGACTAACCCAGGCACCACCATGCCCTGACAGCCCAGGGGAGACAGGGACCATGCACTCAGAGGTGTGAGGACGGCCCGGAAGGCAACAGTGAGCTGGTGTCTCTAGAGAAGAGACACAGTGAGCAGAGTCTCACACTGTGATATCCCCTGTGGAATCTGCAAAAAGGTAATTATCTGACAGGTACAAAAAGACCTATGCAAGAAAATCAACTCCCACCCCACATGGTCTGGAGTTGGGCAGATTCACTTGCTTAAACTGGATGGATTCATGAAATCAGCCCCTCAGGCTATACAACTACCGGAGAGATGGCCAAGAATAAGCACACATGGTCGGGGAGCAAAGAGCTAGCTCCGATTCCAGGAAAGAACAGATGTGGCTCTCCATACTTCACGGCCAGTCCAGGGTGTGTGCTGGGCTCCAGGCCTAGCCAGGCATAATCTGTGCTTCTGCAGCCTTTGTCCAATAAGCTCAATCACAAGGTGATTCAAAAGACCCCAACAGCACACCAGCACGCTGCCATTGCCAGACATCAACCCCTAACTGTGCACATAAGCAAGGCAGGGACAGTGCAGCCATGAAAAGACACAACTTTCTGTTCAGCCTCTCCGATGTCTTTCTCGGGGCATGTAAGATCCATTTTAAAGCTTAAAGATGACACAGCCAGATATGATTTGGACATTAGCCCATTTCTACATGGGTGTCTGAATACCTCCTGCCTCTGTCTCCGTGGTGGTGGCCGCAGCAGAGGGGACCGTTTGGTGTCTCTTCATGTGCTTCTTGCAGTGAACAGCAGTGCGGAATCCCTCTTCACAGAACGGGCACTTGTAAGGCTTCATGCTCATGTGTGTGGCCATGTGCCTGGTGAGGCTGCCATTGGTGGTAAACGAGGCACTGCAGATGCTGCAGCTGAACGCCTTTACTCCTGTACAACAGCCAAGACAGAGTGTCAAGAAAAACTGCAAGCACTCAAAAGCAAGTACTCGTTCAAGAGCTCCCAAAGGACAGCTCACTCACTGTGCTGTGTGATTTTTAGGGAAAGAGTTGGTTTAAGAACACAGGACAGAGTACATCTTACTATATTCTTTCTCGTTTTCTTTGGTGGTGCTAAGATTTGAACTCAGGACCATGTGCGTGCTAGCCATTTGACCCAATCCCCAGCCCTCGTGTGTATAGTTACTTTCCGGATAGGACTTTGCTATTTGCCCAGGGCCTTATAATATGCCTTAGCCCTCAGTCCTCCAGCTTCCACCTTCCAAGTGGTTAGGATTCAGAAACTAGGATTTCAACCACATGCAATCCTGCCTGGCTTGAGATAGGCTGTCACTGACATTTTGCCTTGGTTGGCCTGTGATCTTCCTATCTCTACTTGCCATGTCGCTGAGAATACACATTCTCTACCGAAACGAACAGCCTCCAGGAAGAGGCTGCACACAACAAACTAAGTTGTCTCTGTCTTTGGTCATTCACAGCTACCAACAAAAGTTGGTAGATTTGGCCCCAGGAGTGTTTTTCTAAACCTCATCTTGTATCACTGCCTCATCAGGTAACGTAGATTAAGTTGGACCCCAGAAAGTCTGGAAGCCCTGTCCCCAGCCTCATTTCAGATCAAGCACCTGGCCCTGTCGTCTATCCACAGCTCATCAGTCACAAACAGTCCCACAGTGCCTCCAGCACATCACCAATCTCCCAGTCATCCTTCTAACAGCCTTACGTAGCCCCCCAGTCACCTGCAGGAGGGCCAGGCCCTAAGACTTCTCCCTCGGTTTGTCTATACATATCCTTTCAAAAACACCTGATGTCAGCATGTATATTTTCAGTACGTTAAATACGTACACTAAATTAAACAGCTAACTACATTACACTGACAATATATTTAATTACAAGTCATGGAAACCATCTGTCAAACATCCAATAACCAATGTATATTTAAAACAAAAAAACCTTACCAACTCCATAACATGGAGACAAATAACGTAATATAAAGATGGCCACAGGATTAGTAGACATTTTTCTTTCTTTTTTCTTTTTTCCAGTCCTGAGGCTTGAACTTAGGGCCTGGGCCTGGTCCCTGAGCTTCTTTTGCTTAAGGCTAGCACTTGAGCCACAGAGCCCTCTGGCTTTTTCTGTGTACGTGGTACTGAGGAATGGACCTCAGGGCTTCATGCATGTGAGAGTGCTTCAAGCACTCTACCTCTAAGCCACATTCCCAGTCGCTAGTCATTTTTCACTAAGCACATGGAAAGTTCAAAATAATTAGCCATGCCTGTAATCCTAGCTATTTAGGGGGCTGTGATCTGAGGATTGTAGTTCAAAGCCAGCCTGGGCAGGAAAGTCTCTGTGTGACTCTTATCTCAAATTAACCATCAGAAAAAAAAAATGGAAGTGGAGCTGTGGCTCAAGTAGCTGAGCACTAAGCCCTGAGCAAAATCTCAGGGATAGCACCCAGGCCCAAGTTCGAGCCCCAGGACAGGCACCAAAAAAAAAAAAGTCATTAGCACTAAAGATATGCAAATAATATCTATATTGAGTCATTAACTCTCTGAAGACAGTCCATCTTGTTATGTCTGAATAAGATAGGCAGTGACAAGCAAAGATGTGGAGAAACAGAACCTAATACATTTGCTGGTGAACAGGTAACAGTGTAGCTGCTGTGGAAAAGTTTGATAAACTAAAACATTTATGCACACAAAAGAATGACATGGGAAATAAAAAGGAATGCAGTGCTGATACAGGCCACTATTCAGACAAATTTAAAATATACTGTATGCCTGAAAGACAACAGCCACCAAAGACCACTTTCAGTATGAGCCTATTCACAGGCCATGTCTAAAACAGACCAATTTACTAGGCGGTGGTAGACCATGGTTTCCTGGGGACATTTAAGGAATGTGGGGAGTGACTGTTAATGGTTATAGAATACGTTTTGGGTATGATTTTTTTTTAAGTCCTAAAATTATAGTGCTGGTGATTGCGTAACTCTAACCATCATAAAACCCACTGAATTACACACTATTAGAGGATTGGTGGTACAGGGGCTCCATATAAAAGACAAAAAGGCATAAGGAGACCGTTACCAGTGTGAGTCTTCTCATGGGACTTGAGGACACCAGATGACACAAAGCCGCGCCCACAGAGCTTGCACTTGTAGGGCTTCTCCCCAGTGTGCGACCGCACGTGCTGCTTCAAGTGGCTAGATTTCTTGAAGCCTTTATTGCAATAGTCACACCTAAAATTCAAACACACAGAGTTCCAATCATGCTCACTCTGCACAGAACATCATCACACACAAGAGTTCCCATCGTGCCCACTCTGCTCAGAGCACAATCACTAACACACACAGTTCCAATACTGACCTCCCATCACTAATGCATAGAGTTCCAATAGTGCCCACTCTGCACAGAGCATGATCACTAACACACAGAGTTCCGATAGCGCCAACTCTGCACAGAGCATGAACACTGCCACACAGAGTTCCAATCATGCCCATTCTGCACAGAAAATGATCACTAACAGAGTTCCAATAGTGCCCACACTGCTCAGAGCGAGATCACTAACACAGAGTTCCAATTGTGCCCATTCTGCACAGAGCATGACCACTAACACACAGAGTTCCAATAGTGCACACTCTGTTCAGCACGTGACCACTAAAGCGTATGAGTTCTAATCGTGCCAGCTCTGCACAGAGGGCAATCACTAGCATAATACATGAGAATAGAGGACAGAAATCTAGCTTTAGCCATCTCACGTAGCAAATGGACAGACAGAAATCACACTGTCCCACACTTAAGACAATGGAAATATGCAGCAGAAAAACATGGCAATGAGTATTTGCTGAACCAAATTTGATTCAAGCAAAACTTGATTTGCTAAATCAAGTTCTGCTCAGGTTACCTGTAGTTTTAAATGTATTTTATTATTTCCAAATTAGTAAGTGCTATAATAACTCCTCAGCAGATAAAGTATCTGATGACTTCTAATTATGTACTTATAAGCTTTCTCTAACCCTAAAAGGCACATCCTGGAACCTTCATTAAGCAGGGGTGACAATGAACTCTCTTAGAGAGCCTGGGAAAATGGAGTTGCACAGCCCTGTGTGCAATCAGCACTCAGCAGAAGAGCCAGGTCTGGCTGGCAGCTACCTGTACGTGCGCCTGCTCTGGTCCTCACTGTCCTCTAGGAACTGAGGACGCTGGGGCTGTAAGTCCAGCTCTTCTTGGGATGACTCCGGAAGCAAAGGAGTTGTCTAAAACAGACATAGAAAGGAAAAGCATATGAATACCTTATAAACAAACACAAAATGACACAACTAAGAGCTAAGGATAAAAATGCTTAAGAGAAACTGTAAGTAGTCTATTGCAATCATTTGTGCCAGAACATGATGAACCTTTAACACAGATCTGAGAAGTAAATTCATTTTCTACTAATCTAATACAAACTCTTTTCTCAAGGCTTAAAAAACTGACTCACACTAGTTGTTAATTTGGGACTTAAATGGGCGCCTAGAGGCCCAGGTGCCGAAGGTGAGGACACCAACCTGTGTCCTGGCTGCAGGTGGCGTGGAGAAAGCCAGGTCACTGGAGGGGTAGCCCTGGCAGGGCATCTTGTTCCACCACATACTCCTCACCATAATGTCTGCCTCGCCATGGACCAGAAGCAACAGAGCCCACAGGAAATGGACTGAAACTCTGGAAAGGAGGCACCAAGGCGAAGCTGTCCTCTCGCTTTAACTTGCTCATCTCAGGCATTCCAGCACAGCAAAAGTGCACTCAGGCTCCAAGCTGATAGAAATCCTGTTCTGAAGGGAGGGGTGCCACATACAGAGCAGTCACCTTGACTCCCCTCACTGTGCTGAAGACAGCCCGGACAATGTCTTCTGACCCCGAGGAATACATCCTGCTCACAATGCTCACGGTCTGTGCAGAGCCGAGGCAGGCTGCAAAGAGTAGAGATCTGCCTACCGAACATCTGCGAAAAAACATCCCACTCCTAATCTGTTCACGTTACTGCCACAAACATTCTACAGGTCACCCACTGGTGGAGAAAGGTAGTTACTAGGCAGCACACTCTCCACACCACTCAGCACCACTGTCAAGTGTGTGGCTTCCAGCTAGAGAAACTGCTGACACATTCACGCCTGCCACTGACAAAGCTACCAACAGGTTTTAAAGAGATTAACTGTTAATTGGTCTATCGTTTTCATTTCCAAGAAAAGGAAAGAAAAATCAAATACTTCGGTGTACTGAGTTGTTTTAAATAATGAAATAAGTGTTTATAATGTATCAACATTAATTTTATTTTCCTTCTCTTATACAACTTCCTTCTCTTCCAACTTCCTGGCTTCTGGCCAAAAAGGAAAGGCCACATCATCCTGAGGACACCTAAGCAGCCTTAAGATGTTCTAAGAAAAGAGCAGGGTCTGTAGTCTGAGTCAAGGTTGTCCCAGGGGACATGGGGTCCCAAATCACCTCCTCGGTGCTCACTGGTGTAGGGTGGACTCAGGGCTGGAGCCAGGCTCTGCCCATTCACTAGTAGGGGGCCTGGGGGTGGTGGTGGCCACAGGTCAGACTGTGCTGCAGACAGCAGGCCAGCCTAGCCACTCAAACGCTCCTGCTCCGGAATCCAACCTGGGCTCTAATCCCAATCCCCGTCTCTCACCAGCCCTGTCCCTGGGATCACATTTTCCTCTCTAGGACTGTTCTTGCTGAAGCCCACCCCCACTTGTGTGCCTTTGGAGTGGCTGGCAAGCAATCTCCTCCCTGGGCTTATGGTTAGGCAGGTTTTGAAAGTTTTGCAGAGTCTAAGCTGAGTACCCACTCAGTAATACCCGTCTCCACTTCTAGGTTAATGCAGGGTCTGCTGGGCTCCCCCATGCCCCAGGGTTCAGTCCCACTACAGGCCTGAGTAAAAACTACAACAAGCTGCTCCAAAAAGAAGAGAGGAGAAGAGAAAAGGAGAGGAGGGGAGGAGGAGGGGAGAGGAGGGGAGGGGAGAAGAGAGGAGGAAGGGAGAGGAGAAAGGAGAGAGAGAAAAC